CTGGGAGGGTGCCACAAATAGGGGACGAAAAAGTTTTTTTAAACTTTTTAGTAAAGTATAGTTTATTTAGTCAGTAGAATAATTACTGGTTACTCAAATTTATGGAGGTACCTTCTCAGCCTGCTTTATATGAGGTGTTTCATGGTGCAGAGTATATTTTGTGATATAAGCAAACCACCGTAGATATTGTTGCCAAAAGATGGAAACAGTAATGAAAGCAAAAGATGGCTACTTTGAAGAACCTAGAAYATAAGATGTATTTTCAGTTGTTTCACACTTTTTTGTTAAGTATATAATTCCACATGTGGTAATTCATAGTTTTGATGCCTTCCGTGTGAATCTCCAATTTTCATATTCATGAAAATAAAGGAAACTCTTTGAATGAGAAGGTGTGTCCAAACTTTTGATCTGTATGCAATCAAAACTAACTGATGCTCAGTGTGTAAATAATTAGGAAGTAATATTATTGACACATCATCTGTAGATGACACTTAAAGAGTCGATATCATGTAAAATCAACTTTTTTTTAGCTTTATATCATGTTATAATGTCATTCTCTCATCAAAAACATGCCCAGAGTCTTGCTTTGACTCATTTATGCCTGTTTGAGAAATCCTGCAGTGTCCTGAGGCAGCAGGCAGGGGAGCAAAAATGACCAGTTGGGACTAGAACCACCTTTTGGGACCAGCTCCTCCTCTGGGCTGTGTCTCCAAGCTGAGCTTCTTCATCACAGAGTACACACACCCAGCCCCGTGCTGAAATGGGCGGGACCGAAGCAGAAGGAGGTTCTTAAAGAGACAGAGGCCAATTTCAAGGTGTTTAGAAACAGATATGATGAGAAGACAAGTTTAATTTCTATTTAAACTTATAAACAACATTTTAATAACAACTGAAGGTGACATAGTTACTTTATAATGGTATAGAATTTAAATATATGTCTGAAAAACACATAATATTGCGCCTTTAAATGTTCATTTGAAACAATCAATAATCAAATAAAGTTTATTTGGAAAATCAGTTAAACTATAAACTATTAAACTATACATGTACCTAAAAATAGATATTTATATACAGTATATGTATTTCTATATTTCTATTGTTTTTTATACTGAACTCTACAAGTATCATTCTTGACATTTAAACTCTGTTCAAGAAAATTACAAGTCATTGTCAGTACTCAATATTAGATGAAATCTTGTATCCAATTAGCAATTTATCCGCTGACTTGACCAGTCTGACTATCTTTTTGTGCCACAGCGGTCGCTATACTCTCATAAACAGAAGCATTTTTCTTCAGAGCTCCACTTCATTACCCAGACTAATACGGAGCAAAATGTTTATTCAAATGAGCCGAGATCAAATTCTGTAAAATGATTGAAAGAATGCTGGAATGAATTAAGCTTGTAGGGGGGAAAAAGAGAGAGAGAGAGAAATAATTACAAATGAAAAAGGATCAGTGAAGAAAAAAACACAACTTCGTTATTTTCTCATTACATTACATTTATTTATTGTCTTCTTTCATCAGGGCCTAATGTCATCAATGTGTATCCATGAAGAAAGAAAATATTTTCCATTTATCAGGATCAAGTTGACAGCGGCAGCCATTCTGAGCAACTGATTGGTCGATGCTTTGAGATGAAATTACATATTGTGCAGTTTGATCGGCCTCTGTCAGGGGAATTTGTTTTCTCTTTTGGTAAATTATTGAACAGTGTAAACATTTTCCATAATATACATTTATTATGTGACTCTGGAGGTGTTTGAATGTAAGTTTCCTGTTGCTTTAAGCTGAAAGTCTTGGAGATCTGGTTTGGGTTTAGYGGGATGTTTAGACTCATCATCACATGACGAGTCACGTGTGACAAAGAAGCAAATCCTCTACAGGGATAACTTTGAATGAAACAATAAAGATTTACACGTGCGAACATAAACRATCAGCTGCCGATCATCTTTTTCTTTACTGTTAGATTTAATGATGCTGGTCAGCTCAGAATTTATAAAGTAAGTGCAAGTGATGGTTCTGTGGTGTCCCAGTGTTTTTTAAATGTCTCTGATTTGCTGCACTGATTTTAATGAATCCATCCAAAACCGTCTTTCCTTACAAGCTTTTTGTCAGATTTTATTCAGAAGTACAGTTTTGTTTTGGATGCTCTGCAGCAGTTTGTGTTGGATTTTGTGAAATCTAATGATGAAAGTGGAACTGCAACAATCTTTATTTTAACTCCTCATCTCCAGATGTGCAGAAAAGTTTGATTTCTTTATGTTTTAAATGATGTTTTAGGGTTGACCTTAGGTCCCTGGACCTGTGAGTTCTGACAAAGTATGTGATTATGCCAGAAAATATGCTAAAACACTCACATTTAAAACTTAAGCCAAAAAGGACATGATAAAAAAGATGTATGAAGAGGGAAGATTTCCAAAATCAAAAACTTAATCAAAACTTTAAATTTAGGTTTAGATTTTGTATAATTTGTAAAAGAAAAAGTATCAAATGTGCATTACTGTATATGGAAAAGCATATTGTTTTGAAATGTAAGGAAGCGTGATTATTGTGCATGTGAATGGGCTACTTCTTTCTGTAGATGCACAAAACCCCATCAAACCGAGCCCCTCTGACACGCTCACAGACCCCTTTCACATTTTCAAGGCAAATATCCTGCGTGTAACAGCCTGATCAACGCGCAACAATGTGGCTTTGATGACTTCTACACACACAAATCATGTAAACAAGTGTGCACCATCAGATCTTTAAGGAACCTGATCAGAGTCGACTCCTCTGAAGGACACTGAGACGGAGCGTGACAAAACAGTTATTAAATCCAGAGCGAGCGAGACGATCTCCAGACCGAGCTGTGCAGAAAAAAAAGGGGAGGAGACGTGACCATGGAGGGGTGACAGAGCRAGACGCCAAAATGAAGAAATGCAGAGATGAGGGGATAGGGGGAGAAAGGACTGCCAGACCTGACAGAGAGGGGGGTAGGGGGGAGACAACCACTCAGAGCAGATAAACAGATCCAAATGGCCTTCTGTGAATGTGCAGAGGCAATTTTAAGGTTTGTGATAACATCTTTAAAATGTGGCTTTGAATGTCTGAAACTCATTACTGTCCATGAAAGGCAGGCAATCAGGCCTGTGTGTTTGTTTGTCTGTTAGCAAAATATCTCTTGAACCACTGGTCAGATTTTATTGAAACTCTTAGAAAGTACTCAGCATCTACAACTGATTATCTTTTGAAGACAGGCCCATTCAAGATGATCCCCACACCTAATCAACCTTATGCAAAAATGGTCATAAATCAGTCACTTTTTTAGACATTAAGTCAAAATTTGGTGTGGTCATAACTGAGTATCATCCACAGCACATACTCTGAGTACTAACAGATGGCACAAGAATTATTTGATAACTTTGGCATTAACTACTGGAGGCAAACCTGTTCGTCTGTTRGCAGAATATCCCACGAACCAGTGGGTATATCTCCCTGAAACTCTCAGAAGGAAATCATTRGATGAACATCTACAACAGGTTAACTTTTAGAGTTAACCCCATTCAAGAAGGTCACCACAGCTAATCAAACTTGTCAAACACAAAATGGCTATAAGGCAGTTGCTTTTACAGATACTGAGCCACAGTTTTGGTGAGGTGGTAGTTGAGAGTCATCTGCAACACATTCTCCAAGTGCTAACATCACATAGGAACTTCGTATAAAATGTTGGCATACAAAGCAGTGGGTGATATGCATTCCTTTAATGAAAAGCTACTTTCATTGCTTTGATTAACTTAATTGCTGATGGTGAACATTTGAACTTCAACTATTTTGCATTTTGAATAAATATGGTAAACAAACAAACCTGAACAAAACAAGCTTTTCAAAAACAACTCAGCATCATTAGGTTATAATCACCTCTCCGCATTTGGACCCAGGAAGCAAATTTTAGGCGTTCAGGATGAAGAAAATTGCCATGACAAAAAAAAAAAAAAAAAAAAAAAAAAAAAATGCTGAATGTCTGTCAGTGTGAGAGCAATTTTGAGCATTTTTCTTGCTTTTATCAAACATCTACAGCGAAATGTTTGTTTTTGGATTCGGTGAATAAGTTGAGCAATTACCTGACAGTTACGACTTTTTGTTTTAAATCACAAGTGGTAAATATGTGGTGGCTGCCTTTATTAAATAAAAAGTGTCCTTTTTTGGTCACAGGTCAGGCAGGTATGATAAAGGTGGAAGCAGGGGACAGCAGGGGTTTGTGGGAGTCTGTTCATCCAGTCTCCTCCACCTTCAGGGCCACAGTGGAAACTATCAGTGACACTGGTTTGCTGCAGCAGAGGCTATCAGATAAGACAGCTCTGTGTGCATGCCACTCCTAAATCAATCAAGGTCACCTCATGCTCTTTTTGGTTCCGTTTTAATTCACTGTGGATGATCAGCCGCTGCAGAAAGTCATATAAAGCCAAAAATCCAACAACCTGGGTCAAACATGCTTTGTTGTGCATTTAGTTCACTCTTTTTGTAACTAAGCTATCAGAGCCGTGACCTTGATGTCTGTCTCCTAGTTTATTGTCCCACAGCACCACCTGCTGGTCAAAAACAAACAAAAGTTTAAATCGAGTGGTTTTTCTCGATTGTTTACATTTATTTTCTGAAAGCATGCTTCAAACGCCCAGAACTCCACACACACACACACACACACACACACACACACACACACACA